TTTGACGAGTCCGTCCCCTACTACCGCCTCTTCCCCTACCGCACTGCCCCACTCCCCCCCCCGCCTCTCTTCCTGGCTCCAGGTGCTGAGGTACCAGACCCCCTCCCCCCTCAGGGTGCCGCTCCCTCAGGTGTGTCCCAGGTAGACCCGGGTGAGCCTGTCGAGGTAGCTGTTGACTCTCGTCCTGCTGGGGGTGCTGAGCCTGGGAGTACTGAGTCTGGAGGTGCGGAGCCTGGGGGTGTTGAGCCTGAGGGTGCTGAGTCTGCGGGTGCGGAGCCTGGGGGTGCTGAGTCTGGGGGTACTACACCTGGAGGAGCCCTCTCCTCACAGCGGCTGCAGGAGAGGTACCTACAGTACTGCCGCCTCCGGAGAGGTACTGCTGGAGCTGGTCGCGGTGCTTCCCCTCCTGCCCGGGAGCTCCCCCCCCTCCAGCAGATCCGAGAGTGGTACACGAGGCGCTGCAGTCTTCGGAGTGGTGCTCCTGGTGCTGCGGACCCGGACGTTGGAGCTGCTGCTGGTGCTGCGGACCCGACTGGTGGAGCTGCTGCTGGTGCTGAGGACCCGAGCGGTGGCGCGGCTACTGGTGCTGAGGACCCGAGCGGTGGCGCTGCTGCTGGTGCTGAGGACCCGGACGTTGGAGCTGCTGCTGGTGCTGAGGACCCGGCTGGTGGAGTTCCTGCTGGTGCTGAGGACCCGCGCGGTGGAGCTGCTGCTGGTGCTGCGGACCCGGGCGGTGGAGCTGCTGCTGGTACTGAGGACCCGAGCGGTGGAGCTGCTGCTGGTACTGAGGACCCGGGCGGTGGAGCTGCTGCTGGTGCTGAGGACCCTAGCGCTGGTGTCTCTGCTGCTTCTGGAGACGCTACGCGGCCGCGACCGTACTTCGTACTGCTCCTTCAGCAGGTTCTTGGTCAGGCTCCTCCTCCTCGTCCTCCTCCCTCCGTAGAGTGTCCTCCGCCTGTCCTTTCGCAGTCACAGTTACCGCCTGCCTCGCCTCTTCCTGGTCCCTCTCCTTACACTGGTCCCACAGGAGGTCTTGCAGAGCGTCGTGAGCCTGCGTCTCGTCCTGTGTCGCCTGTTCGTACTGCTCGCACTGGTCGTCGTGTCCCATGTGAGCGTCCTCCTCCTGTTCCTGGCACTCACTACATGACTCTGCGTCCCTCCACTGCTCCTCAGCGTGTCCCGCTGCCGTCTCCTCCTGCGTCCTCTCTGCCTACTCTTCCTGACCCGGAGTCTGACTCCCGTCGTGCTGCCAGTCCCACTGTCACCCGTCTTCTCGCCACTGTTGTCACTGACCCTACCTTTGAGTCCTCTGCTGCGTCTGCTCTGGTCGTTGAGTTGGTTGACTTTGCTGCCCGGTGTCGTCTAGACTACGCCGCTAGCCTTGTTGCTGAGTCTGAGTCTGAGTCTGACTGTCCTCCGTCCGTCGGGGGTGCGTATGTCCTTGAGGACAGACGGGAGGAGTTCCAGTGCTTTGCTGCTGCTTTGCCCCATCTTGTGTCCATGCTAGTTGCCCCTGAGGGAGACCCGGATGCTCCAGACATCCCGACCCCACGCTCTTACGCTGAGGCGATGGCGGGTCCCTACTCCTCTCAGTGGCAGATAGCCATGGACGCAGAGATGGCTTCCTGGAAGTCCACAGGCACCTACGTCGACGAGGTTCCCCCACCTGGGGCGAACATCGTCAGTGGCATGTGGATTTTCAGGGTGAAGCGGCCACCGGGTTCTCCTCCTGTCTTCAAGGCGCGCTACGTGGCTCGAGGCTTCAGTCAGCGAGAGGGAGTTGACTTCTTCCAGACCTTCTCCCCCACCCCGAAGATGACCACTCTTCGGGTGCTGCTGCACATAGCCGCTCAGCGAGACTACGAGCTTCACTCACTTGACTTCAGCACTGCTTTCTTGCAAGGCAGCCTGCACGAGGAGATCTGGCTGCGCCGCCCTCCTGGCTTCACTGGGTCGGTTCCTCCTGGTACCCAGTGGAGGCTCCAGCGGCCGGTCTACGGTCTCCGCCAGGCACCGCGTGAGTGGCACGACACACTGAGGACGACACTTGCGGCTCTTGGGTTCGCTCCCTCTACTGCTGACCCGTCACTGTTTCTACGCACAGACACCTCGCTGCCGCCGTTCTACATCCTCGTGTACGTCGACGACTTGGTCTTTGCCACTGCTGACACCGCGGCACTCGCCCACGTGAAGTCGGAGCTGCAGAGGAGACACACGTGCACAGACCTGGGTGAACTGACAAGCTATCTTGGCTTGCGGATCACCCGGGACAGAGCACGGCGCACCATCACCTTGACTCAGTCACACATGGTGCAGCAGATCCTTCAGCGCTTCCGCTTCACGTACTCCTCGCCTCAGTCCACTCCTCTGCCTACCGGTCACTCGCTCTCAGCTCTGCCTTCGGATGAGTCCGTAGAGCCGAGTGGCCCGTATCCAGAGCTTGTGGGCTGCCTCGTGTACCTGATGACCTGCACTCGACCTGACCTGGCATACCCTCTTAGCATCCTTGCACGCTATGTCGCTCCTGGCCGTCACAGGAAGGAGCACATGGATGCCGCTAAGAGGGTGTTGCGCTACTTGTGCAGTACGTCGGGCATGGGGCTAGTGCCTGGAGAGCGAGACCGAGTTGTACTCACGGGACACTCAGACGCTTCTTGGGCGGACGACCAGGCTACTCAGCGGTCGTCTCAGGGTTACACCTTCAGCCTTGGCTCTGGCTCAGTTTCTTGGCGTTCCACACGCTCTTCTTCTGTTCTCAGCTCCAGTTGTGAGGCTGAGATCTACGCCACAGCCATGGCTGCTCAGGAGCTACGCTGGCTGACCTACCTGCTGACCGACCTGGGAGAGCGGCCTCGTTCTCCTCCAGTGCTGTACGTCGACAACAAGGCTGCCATTGCCTTGTGTGAGGAGCACAGACTGGAGCACAGAACGAAGCACATCGCCCTGCGATACTTCCTTGCTCGAGAGCTGCAGCAGCGCGGTCAGCTTTGTCTGCGTTACGTGGCCACTGAGGCCAACACTGCTGATGTGTTCACCAAGGCGCTTCAGCCTTGTGACCATCAGCGCTTTTGCACTCTGCTAGGCCTTGTGCCTACTGGACCTCACTTGCTTACTTCTTGACCCTGTTGGTACTGTGATCACTATATATATATATCTATACCTGCATGTTTACTCTTGCTAGGTTATGATCACTGTATCTCTTGCTCTGTTATAAACCTGCATGTGAACTGGTCTTGTGACCCCTTGCTTGTGCTCGGAATTTGTGTGGAATCCTTGAGATCCACCCTGAGCTTGTTGTGTCTTGCTTTGCCTTGACTGGTCTTGTGACCCCTAGTTCTCCCCCACTTTGCCTATGGGGGTGTGTCAAACATTATATATGTTGTGCTTGTTAGGCTACAGTGGGTTAGCCTATATGGGGTACACAATTCTAGGGTTTGCTATTTGTACTGATTTCTCTGTTAGTTCAATCATTCCAGTCCGTTCATTCTGACACGACGCTGCTGACATCAGGTAAACAACCCGCTCGAAACTGGCAGTTTCGACTGAAACATATAAAACAACTACACAACTATATATATTGTTTAACTGTCATATTTATAATTATATCCTAGCCGTATCAATTTACAAACCATCATCAAATTTTTTGTGCAACCTCAAATAATAATAAAACCAAACGAATCGAGATTCACAATAAAAGAAAAAATTAAAAGAAGGCATAATTAATCATAATAAAAATAACAATACAAACATAGTCGTTCTTAATTTTACGCATGTTACAAGTGTTGCTTCGCAACCCTAAGACGATTTCGTCGCCTCTTGTTTTTTTTTTTTTTTTTTTTTTTTTTTTTTTTTTTTTTTCTCTGAAGTTTCTGCTTCAAAACATGCTATTCAACCTTTGCCATTTTCTTGTATATAGCCTTCTTGTTTTTTTTTTTTTTTTCGTGCCTTCTTGTTTAATTTATTTATTTATTTATTTTCACGTATCCGACTTTGGTCTCGTTTCTCTGTCATTGTATTGGTAAGGGGGAAGAACATGGTAATTCCAGTACACATTGATGTTGGAGCATGTGATACCTGCTCAGGTCAAGTTATGTGCATACAGGTGGTGCAACAGCTTTTGTGCACATTCGCAGCAAATAGTCCGCTCTGCAGACTGGTACTAGACGCTCGGTGTTTGTTACACCTGAGCAGACACGTACTCTCAAATATTGTTGCACTGATTAATATTACAGTATCTCTCTTTTATAACCACCTGCTTCCAGCCCAATGTTTCGCACACTGTAGAAGCATTCTAGGATGAACAATGAACACTGCACTAAGCTGAACACTTTGATCTTCCTCCATGGAGCGAAACCAAGCAGTTAGTGCTCCCCTCATCACCACGGCCCCCTTGTCATTGTCACCATCACGGTATTGCCAGATAGTGCGTGCAGGTGTGAAGCGGTTGAGAGGGGTAGTGCGGGAAATTTGAATGGTCCGGCTGCTGCTGGTGGTAGGCGAGCGAGTGGCGTGCCTGCTGCCGCTGCTGCCGTTGCTGTTGCTGCCGTTGCTAGTGCCGCTGTTTGTGCTGCTGCAGATAGAGAAGTATGTACTGCTGCTGGCTGCAGGGTTTAGGGAAGGTGAGAGGAGAAAAACAAGGGGAAAGAGGTGAGGGAACTGAGTTTCAGAGATAGAAAGAGAGGTAATATCGAAGGAGGAAGGCAATGAAAATTGGATCAGATTGAATGTAATCATGGGAAAAAGATTTTCTCAGAAGCTATGGCAGCAACAGCAATGGCAACGTGTCGCTCGAGGTGAGAAGGGGTGCGTGTGTGTGCCGAGGCGAGAAGGGGTGTGTGTGCCGAGCTTCGTTCACTCAACACACCATGTGCACTCACCTGACAGTTGACTCACCCAATGACAGTTGACCCACCACATGATTGCTGACCCACCCCATGACTGGTGACTCACCACATTGGGGTGCGTGTGGGACTGCGACTGCAGCAGCAGCAGCTGGGCAATCAATGCACGCTTCTTGACTCACCATTTGCGCATGGGCCTGGAGCTGCAGCAGCTGTGTGCGCAGCTGCTCGTTCTCTTCCTACAGCTGCACCACTTTTGCCTCCAGCTCCACTGTGTACGCCTGAGCGAGGGGGAGGATTGGGAGGGCACCAAGGGGGGGTGGGTGAGAGTACGGAAAGGGAGGCAGCACGGAGTGAGGAGAGAGAAAGTGCCATACGCACGCCACTGCCCACATGGTCACTCTGAGCCTCCCACTCTGGGCCTCCCACCCCAAACCATTCAGCAAGTCCCCTGACCTCAACGGACCTCACCTCACCCCGCCACACCTTACCTCACCTCACTACACCCCACCTGCTTCCTCGCCCGGGACCGAGCAGCCGACTCTCTGTTCTTTCATCTTCTTCTGTCTCCTCTCAAAATCTCCATAAACTTCCACTCATAGTGGAAGAGCAGTGAGAAGATCAGACGACGCTTCCTCACCTCACATCACCTCACCTTACCTCAACCCACCGCACTGCACTGCACCCCACCTGCTTCCTCGCCCGGGACAGAGCAGCAGACTCTCTATTCTTGATCATCCTCTTCTGCCTCTTCTCCATAGGCGCCCCTCCCTCCTCCCCTCCGCCCTGCACTCCCCCACCACGCCCCCGCTCAGGGTGTCCCCATTGCCACCCCCCCGCCTATATCCGACTGCCCCCCTCCCCCTCCGGTGTCACACTCCCCCCGGTCCCCCACCCCATCCTCCCCAGCCCCCTTGCGCCCATGCCTGTGCCCACGCCATACGTAGTGGGCACCATTCCCTCACCCACCCCCATGCCTCTGCCCGTGCCTCCCACAATCTCTCCCCCCATACCCATCCCCATGGCAAGCCCAGCAGCAAGCGGGTGTCTCAGTGATTCCATCCAATCGACCTCCCTCCTTGCACTCCCAATGCTCCCACCGACCCCAGTGACCCGAGGGACCGAGGGCATTGAGGGCAGCGGCAGCAGCAGCAGCGTGGCGGCAAAGACGCCATGTGGCTATGCCCTTGCCACTGCCGCTGCTGCCATCTAAACCACCGGCTGCTGGCACTGGTGCTGCTGCTGCATCGCCTGCTCGCCTCCCCCTCCGCCTCCCCCACCACTTCCTCCCCCTCCGACCCTGCGTATAAGCTGATTCTTGTGGCAATGCAAGGATGTCATGTCTGCCTGCCCTGCCTGCCCTGCTTGCCCTGCCTGCACTGTTTGCCATGCCTGCCCTGCTTGCCCTGCCTGCCCTGCTGTCCCTGCATGCGGGTGGAGCGCCCACCTTGTTGCTCCTGCATCCCCTCTCTCTGCCCTCCCTGTTGCTGCTACTGCTGTAGCTTTGAAATCATGTGCCACGTCAGCACTGCTGCCATTCGCCCCCACGCTCCCCAGCCGCCCATCCGCACCCCCTGCCTGCACCCCTTCTCCTCCCCCTCCGCCTTCCCCCCGCCCCGCTATTGGCCCCCCCACTCCCCCCTCGCCCCCACCCACTGCTCCCCCCTCCCCCTCTCTCAGCGCACTGCTTCCCACTCCGCCACTCGCCTCCTCCCCATCCCCCAGCTCTCCCCCTATCGCCTCTATCCCCCCAATAAGCTCTTCCTTTGATATCCCTGCGCGCACCAGAAAATCTTCCAGTGTAATTTGCGCAAACGACAATTGTCGTATTTGCTTGCTGCTGCTGTGCATTCCCCCCTCCGCGCGTTCCTTCCGCTGATGCTTCGCCCCCCTCCGTCGCTTCCACCTCCCCCGCTAGTTCCGCATGTATGTCTTTCAATAAATCCTCCACGGTCCGCACAGTCAGCGCGCGCGGAAGTGCCGCGGCGGACTTTTGCAGCCGTAGCGAGCGCGCGCGCAGCAGCTCCGCGGCCTTGTCGCGCACGCAGTGTGCGCGGCGGCGAGCATCTGCGGCTATTCGGCGAGCCAGACGGATCGCAGAAAGTCGTCCATGGGCGACGGCGTGCGACGGGCCTGCGAACGTCGCAAGGAAATTGTGTGAGCGAATAGATGGACGCCTGCCGCCCGCAATGAAGGGAACGCCATGGCGCGCGGGCAGAGGGCGGAGAGGGTGGGCAAGAAGCGCAGAGGCGGAAAAGCTGGAAGTAGTAAGGTGGCGGAGAGGCGGAGGTGGAAATATGTACAAATTGCGCGCTAAATTCAGAAGACCGCGACGAGCATTCGATCCGTGAGGCGCCTTAAAAGAGGTGGCGCGCTTGGTGAGTTGGTATTTACAAGGCTATAGTTATGGTGCACTGATAAACTACAAAGGGCACCGTCAGCAGAGCGGTTCGGCTTCTACCGCACCTATCACATCCGTCCTCAACGGCTCCTCCCATCCCCCTCCTCTCCCTTCCTCCCGTCGCATGATCGCATCGTTGCGAGGGTTAGTGGCGCGGGGTGATCGTAGGGATGCCGCACGCGCATACGCACGCTAAGGGCACGAGCACGCCAAGACGCGGCATGAATGAGAAAGAAACTGCGAATTTCAAAAGGAGCGAATCAAAGGAGGGTGCGGCATACGGAGCTCCGAAGCGGACCACGGAATAAAAAGTTGGTCTTGACGCGAGACGTTTGCACGAGAGGAAAGACGTCTCGGAGTGGTGGAGAGATTACAGCGGAATAAAGTAGCAGCAATTATGAGGGGTTTCTGCCTTCCTGCTGTTTTGTGAGTGACTTGCCATTCTCTTACCCGATAAGGCGGCCTCGCTTCAAGTAAAGAGAGAATATGGAACTTCTTTTCCCGTACGAAATGTGCTTCGATTTGTATACCGTTCAACACAGCTAGATACGACATTTACTTCAAATCATTTTCTTCTTAGTCCGATCCCTGACCCTGACCCCCAAGTTCCATTTCTATCCTGATCGCTTTCGAACTTCCGCCATACTTCCCCGCACACCTAGAGAGCCGCGTCGCGAGTGCTCCGGTCGTCAACCAGCAGCGTCATTACTGCCCTAGGATTGGCCGCCGCCGAAGAAACAAGCAACGCCGCCCAGGGCGGTATTTACAGTGATTTTCGCAGATCGTTCCTTATCCTCCGTGCAGCGTTCCCCATTCCGCGCAAGTCCGTCCATTGCCCTTCGCGTCCACCCCGCCTTGTGACAATCACGAGCGAACGCATTACGTGGGTCGTCGGCGCTGCGGCATTCTCACGCAATGCGCGCTTTATTGCACCCCCGCATGGCCTTCTTCACACGTCGTGTACACCGTTCCTCACTCCGCTATTCTCTCACATTACACCGTAAAACCTCGCTCGTCTCTCTGTGTTGTCGTCCTTGTACGGTAAGCGGGATGGGCTGTGGTTTGGGTTTGGGCAAGCAGGGCGCAGCAAGGGGCTGGAGGGGCTGGCGGCGGCGGCAGTGGTGCTGTGGGAGCGTAGCGAGGTGGCCAAGATTGGCGGCAAGCGCGGCGGTGGTGGCGCTATGGGAGCGCAGCGAGGTGGCCACGATTGGCGGCAAGCGCGGCGGTGGTGGCGCTATGGGAGCGCAGCGAGGTGGCCAAGATTGGCGGCTAGCGCGGCGTGTGGAACACCACACAAGCAAGAGTGTATGGCGGAGGAGCTTAAGGTGAGCTGCGGGCATGGCAGGTGCTTGCAGTGCAGAGCAACAAGCATATGGCAGGTGCCTGGGGTCACAGCGCCTGCCACACTTCACACACACACATCGTTCTCCATCTCCTCCTCTCTTCATCTCAGCTCCGCCTCCCCCCCTCTCCTCCCCCCACCGCCTCAGAGGCTGACGGGAGGGGTGCTGTTGGCGCTCGTCAAGATCCCTGCCACAATCAACAGACAGGAATGATTGAACTAACAGTGAAATCAGTACAAGTACCTAACCCTAGAATTGTGTACCCCCTATAGGCTAACCCACTGTAGCCTAAACAAACACAACATATATAATGTTTGACACACCCCCATAGGCAAAGTGGGGGAGAGCAAGGGGTCACAAGACCAGTCAAAGCAAAGCAAAACAAGCTCAGGGTGGATCTCAAGGATACCACACAAATTCCGAGCACAAACAAGTGGTCACAAGACCAGTTCACATGCAGGTTGATAATATAACAAGAGATACAGTGATCACAACCTAGCAAGTGTAAACATGCAGGCATATATATAAAGATCACAGTACAAGCAGAGTCAAGAAGTAAGTAAGTGAGGTCCAGCAGGCACAAGGCCTAGAAGAGTACAGAAACGCTGATGGTCACAAGGCTGAAGCGCCTTGGTGAACACATCAGCAAGGTTGGCCTCAGTGACCACGTAACGCAGACGAAGCTGACCACGCTGCTGCAGCTCTCGAGCAAGGAAGTACCGCAGGGCGATGTGCTTCGTTCTGTTCTCCAGTCTGTGCTCCTCACACAAGGCAATAGCAGCCTGGTTGTCGACGTACAGCACTGGAGGAGAACGAGGCCGCTCTCCCAAGTCGGTCAGCAGGTAGGTCAGCCAGCGTAGCTCCTAGGCAGCCATGGCTGTGGCGTAGATCTCAGCCTCACAACTGGAGCTGAGAACAGAAGAAGAGCGTGTAGAACGCCAAGAAACTGAGCCGGAGCCAAGGCTGAAGGTGTAACCCTGAGACGACCGCTGAGTAGCCTGATCGTCCGCCCAAGAAGCGTCTGAGTGTCCAGTAAGTACAACTCGGTCTCGCCCTCCAAGCACTAGCCCCATGCCCGACGTACTGCACAAGTAGCGCAACACCCTCTTAGCGGCATCCATGTGCTCCTTCCTGTGACGGCCAGGAGCGACATAGCGTGCAAGGATGCTAAGAGGGTATGCAAGGTCAGGTCGAGTGCAGGTCATCAGGTACATGAGGCAGCCCACAAGCTCTGGATACGGGCCACTCGGCTCTACGGACTCATCCGAAGGCAGAGCTGAGAGCGAGTGACCGGTAGGCAGAGGAGTGGACTGAGGCGAGGAGTACGTGAAGCGGAAGCGCTGAAGGATCTGCTGCACCATGTGTGACTGAGTCAAGGTGATGGTGCGCCGTGCTCTGTCCCGGGTGATCCGCAAGCCAAGATAGCTTGTCAGTTCACCCAGGTCTGTGCACGTGTGTCTCCTCTGCAGCTCCGACTTCACGTGGGCGAGTGCCGCGGTGTCAGCAGTGGCAAAGACCAAGTCGTCGACGTACACGAGGATGTAGAACGGCGGCAGTGAGGTGTCTGTGCGTAGAAACAGTGACGGGTCAGCAGTAGAGGGAGCAAACCCAAGAGCCGCAAGTGTCGTCCTCAGTATGTCGTGCCACTCACGCGGTGCCTGGCGGAGACCGTAGACCGGCCGCTGGAGCCTCCACTGGGTACCAGGAGGAACCGACCCAGTGAAGCCAGGAGGGCGGCGCAGCCAGATCTCCTCGTGCAGGCTGCCCTGCAAGAAAGCAGTGCTGAAGTCAAGTGAGTGAAGCTCGTAGTCGCGCTGAGCGGCTATGTGCAGCAGCACCCGAAGAGTGGTCATCTTCGGGGTGGGGGAGAAGGTCTGGAAGAAGTCAACTCCCTCTCGCTGACTGAAGCCTCGAGCCACGTAGCGCGCCTTGAAGACAGGAGGAGAACCCGGTGGCCGCTTCACCCTGAAAATCCACATGCCACTGACGATGTTCGCCCCAGGTGGGGGAACATCGTCGACGTAAGTGCCTGTGGACTTCCAGGAAGCCATCTCTGCGTCCATGGCTGTCTGCCACTGAGAGGAGTAGGGACCCTCCATCGCCTCTGCGTAAGAGCGTGGGGTCGGGATGTCTGGAGCATCCGGGTCTCCCTCAGGGGCAACTAGCATGGACACGAGGTGGGGTAAAGCAGCAGCAAAGCACTGGAACTCCTCCTGTCTGTCCTCAAGGACGTCCGTGCCAAGAGCACACTCACCCCCGACGGACGGAGGACAGACAGACTCAGACTCAGACTCAGCAACAAGGCTAGTGGCGTAGTCTAGACGACACCGGGCAGCAAAGTCTATCAACTCAGTGACCAGAGCAGACGCAGCAGAGGACTCAAAGGTAGGGTCAGTGACAACAGTAGCGAGGAGACGGGTGACAGTGGGACTGGCAGCACGACGGGAGTCAGACTCCGGATCAGGAAGAGTAGGCAGAGAGGACGCAGGAGGAGACGGCAGCGGAACACGCTGAGGAGCAGTGGAGGGACGCAGAGTCATGTAGTGAGTGCCAGGGACAGGAGGAGGACGCTCACGTGGGACACGACGACCAGTGCGAGCAGTACGAACAGGCGACGCAGGACGAGACTCAGGCTCACGACGCTCTGTAAGACCTCCTGTGGGACCAGTGTAAGGAGAGGGACCAGGGAGAGGCGAGGCAGGCGGGAACTGTGACTGCGACTGGACAGGCGGAGGACACTCTACGGAGGGAGGAGGACAAGGAGGAGGAGCCTGACCAAGAACCTGCTGAAGAAGTGGTACGAAGTACGGTCGCGGCCGCGCAGCGTCTCCAGAACCAGCAGAGACACCAGTGGCAGGGTCCTCAGCACCAGCAGCAGCTCCAACGTCCGGGTCCTCAGCACCAGCAGCAGCTCCACCGGTCGGGTCCTCAGCACCAGCAGCAGCTCCACCGTCCGGGTCCGCAGCACCAGCAGCAGCTCCAACGCCCGGGTCCTCAGCACCAGCAGCAGCCCCAACGCCCGGGTCCTCAGCACCAGCAGCAGCCCCAACGCCCGGGTCCTCAGCACCAGTAGCAGCGCCACCCCCAGGGTCCGCAGCACCAGGAGCACCACTCCGAAGACTGCAGCGCCGGGAGTGGAGGAGCGGCTGGGGAGGCTAGTGGCGGCAGTGGGGGTGGTGACAGCAGCGGCGGGAGTGGCGGCAGGGGTGGAGGCGGCAGCGGAGGCGGAGGTGGTCGTGGCAGCGGCAGGGGTGGAGGTGGCCGTGGCTGTGGCGGCGGCAGTGGTGGTCGTGGAGGCGCTGGCGGTGGCCAGAGTCAGCAGCCCGCCCCGTCGCTTCAGGCCGCCCGTGAGTGGTATGCGCAGCGTGGCTTTACCTGCACGTACGTCATTCGCACTGGTGACCGCACTGGCCAGCAGTGTGGGAGGCCGCATCCCACACAGCGCTGTTTCGCGCGCCTTACTGACGCGTGGCGTGCCCAGTTTCCTGATGCCACTGAGCTGCCCCGCTGGGCTGATCTGGAGAAGAAGGGAGTTGATATCTGGGCTTTAGACTTTGATGCTATTCTCACTGCCATGTATGCGATGTTTACTAGTGGAGAGGGTGCCCAGTACTTGCGTGTTCCGCCCGACCCGGGCATTCTGACCAGTCCGGCTGCCGCTCTAGGTGCTAGTGAGTCTGCTGCCCCAGGTCCTGGTGAGGCTGCTGCTCTGATACCATGTCAGAATCAACAGACAGGAATGATTGAACTAACA